AGTTTCCTCCTGAGTGCTCCCCTGTGGGTCTTGTAGTGCCTCATCTTGGCTCTGATACATGATTCACAATAAGGATTCTTGTATCGATGTGTGAGGAGGTGTTGTATCGTTCTTGCTTCAGCTTTGAGCGTTCCTCTCCTCACCATTCTACTTGCACTATCGACGACATCAACCTCATCTGTATCGTCTTCATCAACTGTTTCCTCAGGGTTCTTCTCCTTCTCCATCTTCTCCTGGAGAGGCCTGGTTCCTTTTCTTCCCTCTTGTTCGTTTTCTCTTCTGTGGGATATAGGAATGTTCATCGAAGTCACAGTTGAACCCTTGAGGGTCTACCTCATGATCGATGATCTCGGGTTGGTAGCTCACATCGATATGACCAGTGATCAACTTGGAGACGTTCTCGGTCTGTTCATCAATCATCGGGGAACAGAAATCACCGTCTTTCACGATGTAAGGTATGTTGCCTTCGACTTCAAGTAGAATGCTTTTGTTGTCTGGGGAGATCATGTATGGCACACCCTTTGCCGGCCACGCAAAAGAATATCATTCTTCCATGCACTTCTTACCCACAAACAGTACTGAAGGTGATCCATCCAATGCGTAGGGAGTGTGAGTAGACTCAACTTCATCGAAGTGGATCTTTGCAACTACATTTGTGCTTGTCACACCATTCGCTGTGAAGAATGACATAGGATGCACACTTTTCTCAACGTCAAGCCCCAATTTCTTGGCTCTATTCTTTGAGATTAAGTCATGTCCACATCCTGTATCCATGATGAATTTCGCTCTTGATCCTGCAGCAGGTACTGACAATGTTTGCACTTCACCTTTTATTCCATGTTTACCGCAAACGTGAGGGATGAGCTTGCGATCGTACACCAATCCCTCTTCTTCATCAAACCTCATCGTGATAGCAATATCTCCGTTTGGGCCAACTGGGGTATGTACTTCCTTGATGTTGGTGTGGGCACCATGAGGATGGCTCTTGCTTCCGCTACTTTCGCATCAAAACGGCTTTGTTCACGGTGGGAATGGTCAGTGACCTCCTTTGTTTCGTACCTCTTGATGTCTGGTCTCAACGGTTTCCTGATCACGGGTTTCCATATGTCCCTGGTAGAATACACAGCCTCGTTGAGGATGATGTCACCGACGTCATCATTGAATGACACTTTCTTCTCTTTCACGGTGTTCATCTTCACGCTTGCTGCGATCCCCTCATCGGACTCTTCCAAGAAGGATAGGTCTCTCACCGCCGGAGCACTCGGCTTTCCCTTGGGCTTCGGCTTTGGTGTAGGCTTCGGCTTGGGCTTGTCCTCTCCAGAATCTGCAGCTGCGGACATACCCTTCTTGGGCGCTGCTTTGGGGTCATGATAAAATTTACATTTTTTTCCCTTCGGGCAGTTCCCTCGAATCCAGTTCCAGCAAGGAACGTTTCTTTCACCTTTGGCTGATGTGTTCCTCTTGAAGGAGTTCTTGTCCTCTTGTGACTATATGGACACCCTTTTCCGCTGTTACACTTTCCTTTAGCAAAGAATTTGCACGGAATCTTCTTCTTGTCTACACTGGTACTTCTTCCTCTGTCTTTGCCATCTCCCTTTCCTTTCCCTTTCTTATCTTCTGGATGTCTCTTCGGATTGGGAGTTGGTTTGACAGGAGTTGTCCCCCACTGCCCCGGATGGTTTGGGCTTCGGTTTCTTTGGATCATTGGGCGCAGGTGTGGCCTTAGCCTTAGGTGCTGGACCACTGGGCTTGCGACTCTGAAATATGTTGGCCACATTCTTGACGGCTTTCTCCTTCTCAAGGAGCATCCGGCCCTCGGTTTGCCTGTCAATGCGCTTTCGAACCATGTCACGGAGTGTCTGATATGTCTTCTTGGGATCTCCTTCATTGAGACTGTTGTACATGTGTATGTCGTATGACATCAGATTTGAATTTTTCACCTTCCTGTACAAGAGGTCACGAAGCGCGTCGCTTGGGATATCGGCTGGTTTCATTCCTGCCAAGACCTCATCCCACGTATGTATGAAAAGTGATAAATTCCTGTCTCTCTGATATTCAAACTGATACAAGTGCATAGATGTGTACAGCACTTCAACGTTGGAGGTCGTCTTGAAGTTGAGAAGTATCAAAGGAAGAGGTCCTCCCTTTTGCATTGATACGAGTCCTCAATTTCATAGCGACATCGTTCCCTTCTTCTTTGGAGTCCGCAACTACTTTGGTCAATGCCAAGCCTAACTTTGCATCGATAGAATGGAACCTCGTATCGCCTGAATGCATCAGTATGTCAGGATCTGGATCATCGATGGCTTCTTTGATCCAGTCAATACATCATTGTTGGTCTGAGTCATTTGCTGCGATGGCGATCGCCTGTATTAAGTTGGCTTTTCATAGACCTAGATCATTGACCTTTGGCCATGGTGGGACATTCACCTTCGATTCTTCTTTCCTTGATACCTTGGTTGCATAGGTTGGGGAGGAGGTTGATGCCGATGCGGCTTCCGACAATTTGTTCTTGAGTCCTGCATTCACGCATTCGATTTCCTCCTTTTCTTCAACCCCTTCCCCATAGCATTCAAAAGCTTCCAGTTACGAATGATAAGCCTCATCACGTGCTCTCCTCAACCTGCTCACTTCATTTTCTTCGTGTCTCATATCTTCTTCCAAGCGCGATTGAGTCTCCTCATCAAGTCGAGTGGCCGGTCGCCCTCGTCCTTCTCGATGTTCATCTCTGGTGAATCCATTGTGCATCTCCACTTTCATCTTCGCATTCCCAAGTCTCACTTCTGATCATTGCTTTTCAGCGATTTTGTTGTTCTCCTCGAGTTCCTGGAACTTCTCATCAAGAAATACCCCTTTCTCTACCATCGATTGCGGATGTTCCCAACAAGTTCTCTCTTCTCAGTATCTTTTTGGCTTCTGTGAGGGCAAGATTGGCTTCTCTCATCTGACGTTGCTCATCTTTTGCTTGTGATTGTATTTTGACAGCAGCGTCCTCCAATGTTTTCGTTGCCTCTGCCATCACTCTTGCTTCATACTGAAATTGTTGTGCCCACATCTCCCTCTCGTTGACTTCCAATCTGCATGCCTGTAGCTCAGTCTTTTGTTCAAGATCAAGATTACTCATCTCCTGCAATCATACTCATCTCTGATCCCTTGACGGTTGCCAGTTGACCACGAAGATGTTTTACCATTCTCTTCTCTTGGTATCGATGATGAGTGCTCGCAGCAGCCTCGTTGGTCAGTACCATGTGGTGAATTTCACTCTTCCATTGCTTCTCCCTTTCTCTCTGAGCTATCTCCAGCATATTGCTGTTCTCATCCTACAGCATCAGCATCTTCATCTGTAGTTCGTCGGCGACGCTCATCATCGCTTTGTTCTCTTCAGTGAGATGTTGAGCCCTTCTGTTGTAGTTATCAGAGATCTGATTCTGCTCTTGGATGTACCTGAAGGCACCTTGCATTTCACTGGTCATGTCTTCCATCTTGGAGGTCACTTCGTCAAGCTGGGAGTGTTCCTCATGATTCTCATAAGCGACTGTCTCGTACCTCGTGTGGATGTGATCTGCCAAAGATTCGGCAAGCCTGAGTTTCTTCTCAAGTTCTTCAATCCGTATAGTTGCACCTTCATCCTCTTGCATTTCTTGTATGTGAGTGTTCATTGCCATGTTGCACTTTGTCATTTGCGAAAATTCCTCCCCCGATTCAGCATAGAGTCTAGTATATCCATCATGCAAATAGCTGTATTTATCGTTCAAGTGCTGGTAGGATACTCTTGCTGATCGTAGTTCTTCAAGGAGTTTGATTTCTATCTCTTCATATTCTTTGGCATCTTCAATTTCTACCTTTTCGATATCTCTCTTTGGCGATCTTCTCGTTATAGTCCTTGGCGATGTAGATCTCGCAAATCTCTTCATAATTCTCTTTGCGTTGCCCATTCGAACATCGGATCCGGTGGAAGTCGTCTCTCATGGAGCGATCCCTCCTTCACCTGAAATTAACGATGTGGATGGCATAGTAATCACTGTGGCAGCATCAGCAGAACTAGCACCGGTCATTGAACCTGGCGAAGATTGTGATGCATTTCCTCCTGGAGGGGCGAAGGAGAATTGTCCACTGCTTTTTGCTCCAGAGCTCGACATTGTGATTTAAGTCTTGGTTGTAATATTGGTCTCTCAAAGCTCGTAACCTCGGAGCGGCTACGGCTGATAACCTGCGTGTGGATATTAATCTGCTCAACGGGAAGTATGAGTAGACTATCCTCTCCCTTGTAGTCAGCAATGGCGCGCAGTTCTTTTCCGCTTGAACTACGGGAGTCTTGAGCCAAAGAGTTGGCGTGACACGCTAATGTATGCTGTACACGCATAGGCTATGCCAAGGTATGCTATCGTCCCACTGCTATTAACATTATATATATAGCTTAAATACGAAAACAACAAACCAGGCCATGGCAATTCTGCAGCGGCAACGCGTCGGATCTGTGAATATATTATTCAATGTGCAAACAGTACGTTTGAAACTGTCATTTAAGAACACTTGGTTGGCAACAGATTGCCCAGGCTCCTTGAAAAGGAAACCTCCGCAACACGACTCGTCTTTACCGACGGGCCGTTTAACATTCAGCATGTATCTTATTATTAGGCAACCCACTTAGTAACCTAACATCGCGCGAGTCGCATTATACACGCCAGCGTTTTCATTAATGAACATGGCCTTTCGTGCTTCCTCTATCGACCCCACAAACCCGAGAGTTTATATAAGTGCTCATTTTGGTGGTATACATGTTGCGACCGCAGCCAAACCATGGTCCAGCTGGACCAATTTACCCAACCATTGCCTTGGGCAGAAACTGCGAGTCTGCAAAGATGCCTGCAAGAGTAGCGTCTATAACAATCAAATAAATGAGTACACATGAGTAGGCTGCCGATGCAGCCGGAAAACAAGGGAAAGTCTTGACGTCTATCTGCTTTGCAATGATCTTTGTGGTCTAGTCTCATAGATGTCACATTGTAATGCTTGTACTATAATCATAAGAGAATCAGAAGTCCAACTTCCGATTAGCAAACTGATTGGGTTGACGCAAGAGCTTTCCCTTCGTGTGCGTCAAGGTGGCTAGCTGCCCGTGGGGGCCACTTGACGAAAGACTGCTGGGCCTGCCCTGGTTGATGAAAATGTGAACAGTTCTTTCGAACATGAATTGCCACTCAACTTGGGCTTATCTCGCGAAACTAAAATCAAAGGAAAAAGGCAATTTATGCAAGCCAAGACCCCTTGGCAATCTTCGGTCACAAAGCAAAAATGGCCCCGCGCAGGCTCAACGGATTCAAGCGTTGAACGAAGTCCTGGATGCAGGATGCAGTAGCCGTCGCCGTTTCCCAGGGGCGACTAGTTCTTGAAGATTGAGCATTACGTCAGCCCCATCGCTCTGCCCAGTGCAAGGAAGTCTTTGGGGCAACTTTTGCTTATTATATACCCATTGAAAAAGTTCCCGGCAAGGGACCCCAAACAGCGTATCACAGTGAATTTCACAAGTCCAAGGTCTAAAGGTGTAGAAACAACTTGAGGAGACGGGGGTGGACGAAAGGTAGCATGTCTGCGGCTGCTGCTGCTGCTGCTGCTGCTGGTTGCTGCTGCTGGTTGCTGGTTGCTGCTGGTTGCTGCTGCTGGTTGCTGGTTGCTGCTGCTGCTGGTTGCTGCTGCTGCTGGTTGCTGGTTGCTGCTGCTTGCTGGTTGCTGGTTGCTGCTGCTGCTGGTTGCTGCTGCTGCTGGTTGCTGGTTGCTGCTGCTGCTGGTTGCTGCTGCTGCTTGCTGGTTGCTGCTGCTGCTGGTTGCTGGTTGCTGCTGCTGCTGGTTGCTGGTTGTTGCTGCTGCTGGTTGCTGCTGCTGCTGGTTGCTGCTGCTGCTGGTTGCTGCTGCTGCTGCTGGTTGCTGCTGCTGGTTGCTGGTTGCTGCTGCTGCTGGTTGCTGCTGCTGCTGCTGGTTGCTGGTTGCTGCTGCTGCTGCTGCTGGTTGCTGCTGCTGCTGCTTGCTGCCGCTGCTGCTGCTGGTTGCTGCTGCTGCTTGCTGCTGCTGCTGCTGCTGCTGGTTGCTGCTGCTGCTGCTGCTGCTGCTGCTGGTTGCTGCTGCTGCTGCTGCTGCTGGTTGCTGCTGCTGGCTGCTGCTGCTGCTGCTGGTTGCTGCTGCTGCTGGTTGCTGGTTGCTGCTGCTGGTTGCTGGTTGCTGCTGTTGCTGCTGGTTGCTGGTTGCTGCTGCTGGTTGCTGGTTGCTGGTTGCTGCTGCTGGTTGCTGCTGCTGCTGGTTGCTGGTTGCTGCTGCTTGCTGGTTGCTGCTGCTGCTGCTGCTGGCTGCCGCTGTTGCTGCTGCTGCTGCTGCTAGTGGTTGCTGCTGCTGCTGGTTGCTGCTGCTGCTTGCTGCTGCTGGTTTCTGTTGGTTACTGCTGCTGCTGGTTGCTGCTGCTGCTGGTTGCTGCTGCTGCTGGTT